CCACTGCATTTCAGCACATGCAGTCTTCTGTAACAGTCCTGTGCTTTTGGGAGCAGAGGCGTGGAGGAGCTGCAGGAATTCAGGACACTTTCAAGAGAGAAGCAGGGTTTGGCTTCTGCTGAGGTCTGCTTTGTGCACACACTGTTGTACTTACCTCCCCCGCCCAATGTTTGTTTTGCTTTAACTGAGACCTAGCACAAGAATATGATATGCTTTGGAAAAATGGAAGAGAGTATTTTATGTAGTATCTTGTCCCAGTGTTATCAGCAGAAGAAAATGCCTAGAGTAGTGCTTGGCCTGTTAGTCCTTCAGAATGTGTCTGTCTTACTCCACAAAGTGTTACTTGTTAGGTAAAGCAACTGTCAGGGTTATATTATCCTGAGCAATGGGCTTCTAAAGCTTCCAGCAGATTTCTTATCTCAGGCCACTGATAGTTTGCAGAAGTGTCTGGATGAAATACGTGCTGGCAGTCTCAGCTGAAGTAGAAAAAGCCTGTACACTTTCCTCACTGGAAAGGAAGGTTCTGGATGTACGCAGACCCCAGTAGCTGCACCTCCTGTCTCCATACCCTCCAGCAGGTACAGCTGGATGCAGACCCGCGTTTTCCTGTAATTTCTGCTGTGGAGACTGCACCACTCAGGCGTTTGGGCCCACGTGGCAGGAGCAGGCGTTAGGGGTGAACATGGCTCCTGACAGGAGCCATCCTGCCATAGGCCGTGTGGCCAGTGAAGCGATCCCTAAATCTCTTACTTACCTCCAGCAAGCATTTTAAGTGTGTGAGGAACTTAATTAATTAATGCTTGTGATGCAGTGAGCTCTTCAGAGGAAAAAAGCAGGGAGGGGGAGGGGAAGTGAATTTTCACTAGAGCTGGCAGAAAACTTTCTGTCAGAATACTGAGCAGTGTGGTTTCTGTCAGAGACGGAGCCAGGGTTAGGCCTGCTTCTCCTTAGCCATTTATCACCGCCAAGAAGTGGATTTTTGTCACAGCAGCACTCCATCCAGAGCCAGCAACCAGCCACGTGGATCCCTGCGCCTCAGGTAGGGCTGTCAGTCAGCGGTTAGCTGAGTTGTGCTACCTGAAACACGGCAGTTTTCCTGAATGTGGTGACTTTTCCAGCATCTAAATTAATTATTTGCATTAAGTTCTGCTCCAACCACATCCTTTTAGTTTTAAAGAAAAGGAAATTCATCAAAACATAAAAATAAAAAAATCTCAGCTTGGAGCAGTGCTTCTCCAGGCCTAGCCACCCCCAGCCCTACCCAGATCAAGGCAGGAGAAAGCCACCATCTCCTCACTTCTCTGTCAGTTCTCCGCTCTGTGGAGCCAGCCCCTGCAAAAGCAGATTTATTTCAGTTGTGGCAATACACAGTGACCTTCAGTACTGAGCTGGAAAAGTCATTCCTGTGAGTAAATGATTACTAACTGACTGGCCTCTATCTGGTGACTCCATGTTCACCATCGTTTTCCCTAATACAATCTGTGATCATTGCCTGAGAGAAAATTAAAACAATTTCCATCCAAAAAGACCATCATTAGCTGGACTGATGTCAGCAGGGCCTCACAACTCCAAGACTTTGACATCATCTCATAAATTAAGACGATGTTCAGGCTGGCCAACACTCTAGCAGTGTATGTGGCCATTAAAGGGCTGTGATAATGAGCCTCGTAAAATGAAATGCTGAATATAGAAATGAGGAAACAACTGCTTGCCTTCAGCACTCAGAAACATGCATGAGGGCTCTCAGCCAAAGTCAGCATAACAGATGTAGTCAGATCCCAACTCCTTTTAGCGTAAACCTGGAGTTAGCAGCTTTGCAGTTACTGATGCTAGGGGTGAGAAGAGACACCTGCCTACCACACATGCAAAGCAGTGGCAGACTAAGGAGATGAAGAAAAAAAAAAAGACAAAGTATTGCTGTCAGAGTGAAGTAAGATTGCAGTGACTGCTTAGGTGGAGTAAATGTCTCTTAGCTTTGGGAACAAACCATGACCTTTGTTATCTAGGCCACGATCTCGCTTTCCCTGGAGCCAGTGCCGAAGTGCTCCTTGACTTTGCTGTTGCCAAACAGGCTCCAGCTTGTTTTGTCCGTGAGTGACACTGCCCATTGCAAATGATCTGTGTGAGCAGAGTGCTGAACAAGTCAATTTGGTTCTCTGTGCCAGTGATAGATCTGATCTCACAGGATGTTGTTGTGCCAATGCTTTTAGCCAGTAAAATTTTGGGCAGCAGTTATGCAAATGTTCAGATTCATTTAGCTGCATGAGTATGCTGGGAAAATCAATGAAATCACTTAGATGATTAAAATTACTCTGTCCGAAGTGTTTCTAGCCTCTGTACAGGTCCTTGATCTGTATGGATGGCTTGGCACTTACAAAGGTAAAAAAAAAAAAAAAAAGCTTTTTCCTTAAGAGATCTCGCTCTGCTTGAATGCAGAGAAGGTGACTATGGGCAAAGCAAGTTATTTTTCTACTGGCATATGTTGTCTCTATGTCTCTGTGTTGTAACATCCAGATACTGTCTGTGGGAGACAAGAAAAACTATTATGCCACGCTCAGTGAATCCCTGATACTTGACAGTGTGTTTTCTTTATTTTTAGTATTTCCTGGAGAAGGGCTGAGTCCATCCATGTGCAAAATATTGCAACTGACAGAGAAGGGAGGCATGCATGTGTTTCAAGACATGTGCCTAGGGTGGCTGTGGTTATGTAAGGGCTCTTTTGACATAGCCAATTACATAAAATAGTAATACTGGAAAGGAAGGCAGTAAATGAATGCAGGGAAGGAATATATTTGCAGCAGTAGAGCTGCAGGTGACAGGAATGGAGCGGAAGGGTCAGTAGGTTCCTCATGGGCTGCTCTGCTATTCTGGCATTCACCTGTCCAGTGACCCCAGGTGCTGCTGACTTTCAGCAAGCGAAGCAGGAACCCTCCTGCTGCAGCCCCTGTGCTGGAATGGCCACAGGCAGCCATATGTTAATGCCTCTGCAAGCAGGGGAGAGGAATGAGGCCACGAAGCCTCCCAGTTAATACGATGCAATCTTCGGAAAGCTGTTGCTTTTGTTACATTTTTAAGAGAAATGTTCTCACTGAGCTGCAGGACACACAGCACAGCCCGTTCTGCCGCTGCAGTGGTAGGAGGGGAAGGACGAGTGCTTGCTTAGTGACTCAGTGTGTGCACAGCAGAGGACGTTCGCAGAAATGCCCAGTGAAGCATATGCTCTGGCTATGGGAGCTCATCCCCAGGGTAGGATCCGTAGCGCTGATATCCCTGAAGATGACACATTGTATTGAGAAAAGCTTTTCTCGGTGAAAAAGAAGCTCAGAATTGTCTGGGCAGGCAGTGGACTGTCGGCCCAGTCCAAAGGTGGACTCCTCTCAACATAATGCGAGGTCATCGCTGCTAGACCTTCCTCTCCAGGTATCGCTCTTGCTCGGACATCGTTATTGCTTCACTGGTTTAACAGCACCGTGCCTGCTGGCAGGCGGGGAGAGGGGAAGGAGGTTTGTACGCTTGGACTATCCTACTGTATGGCAGGTAATAAATCACAGATCTCCCTTGAGAACAGCCACACTGTACGTATATTTCATGTGCTTTCACCTATGTCAACCTTCCTAGATGTAAGGGCCACACTGCAACCAACCAAAGGTGTCACAGCAGGCCAAATTTGGGCCACAGAGCAAATATTTCATGGTCTGCCATGCAGGTTCCAATGGGCTCTGCTGTCTGTGCAGCTTGTAGCTCAGGGCATGGTGACCTTTGCCCAGCTTTCCTTGATGAGACTCCTTGGTCTGGCAGTTCTCTGCTGAGGACTGCCTTCGTTACAGCCAGGTGTCTTCACACGTACACGGCGAGCAGGTTCAGCAGCAGGAGGGACCACCCAGGTGGGGGCTGACACCAGATTCGGTGGGGTTTCAGGAGGGTTGCCTGCCTGGGGAAATGCACATTTACCAGCTCACCTCCTCTAGGCCAGTGGCTTGCAGGTTAGCCCAGGTTTTGGTTAGTTACCATCGGCATGACCTGGGGAATCAGGGTTTCTGTCCCCAGACTGCCTACTCATGCATGTGAGCATGAAACGGTTTGTGTATGTCTCAGCATCGCTGAAAGCACAGTGTAGGCTAGCCAATTGTAATGCATTTCCAACAGATGGTGCTGCAATGCCACCAAAAGCTAAGCGTGTGTAAGGAAGAGAGGCTTTAGAGAGCGTATCCTACTCCCCATGCTTTCCCCCTCCCTGGTTTCCTGGTTGAATTGTAGTGTTTCTAAGTTTCCCTACAACAATCCGCACAGATGTTCCCTGGCTTTAGAGTTTATTCCTAACAGCTTTATGTTAGTTATGCTGCCCAGACCTCAGGGGAGGAGTGCCACAACAGGACACTGCCGAGGAGCCTGCAGCTCTTCCACTTCTCCAGTCCCTTGGTCTAATCCATCCGCTCTTGCCGCTGAGCTGTCACCCACTGCAGACTCAGGTTGGCCTTGACATGGGTCCCACTGCTGCAGTCCACCTCTCATGACATGGGAGTAGCTGTGCCACTGCCAGCACGTGCCATCAACACAGAGGCTTCAGCCAGCTGCTTGTACCACGCGGTTAGGCGTTAGATCATTGGCAGCCTTCTTTCTGTCTAAATATTATTTAAGTTGTTGAGTCCTTTCTCGAGACAGGGGCAGGGCTTTTGATGTCTCAGGGTGTTGAAGACCTGTGGATTTTAGGGATGGCAGCAGCAGGGCCTTCACTTGGAGCTGTAATGAACAGTCATGTTGGCAAGGGAGCCACCCTTGTGTTAATGGGATGCCTCAATGGACGTTCCTTGTCTCCTAGCTTTTTGTTATGCACTCCTTTAAATCTTACACTCCTGCTGGAGGGCTGATAAGAGCCTTTTGTATGCACCTTACCCAGGAGATGTTTCCCTGGCTCTGCAGCCACTGGGGAGCTCAAAAGGTCACCTAACACCTGCAGTCTGGGGTAGGGCAGCCTCTTCTGCAGCTGCAGGTCACGGCCTGAGCACACTAACTGGTGCTAAGGACCCTGATCCATCCTCACCTGGATCCTCCCCTTCCCCCAGCTGTGGACTAGGAACTCTATTTAAGGTCACCTCAGGTTTTTTACCTTTTTCTGAGCTATTTTGTAGGATTGCTGGTCTCTGGCTCAGTCAGAAGCATACGCTGCTTGGCCATGAAGCTGCTTTGTTGCCCTGGACTCATATGGTAACCTCACCTCTTGCTTGAACCTGGCTGTGGTCTCTGTACCTGCCCTGCTCACCATGCTCAGGTACTGTTTCTGCATGGTTTTAGAAACAATTTCCTTCTGGTGAGATCTGATGAGTGTTGTAGGGGATCAAAGCTAACAAAAAGTCTGTGAGCAGTGGAGTTTCCACCTTTTTGGTGGGGGAATAGTTATGGGGATGTGCTCTGGGCCAGGCTGAGACCCCAGCACGGTGCTGGGCAGTTGCTGGTGGCCTCATGTGAAAACCTTGGTGCAGTTTGTGATTCTGAAAGGCTGCTGGGGCCGACATGTGCGAGTGTGCTTCTTACCTTCCCTGTTGTTTAAAACTAGCGTTGTTCTTCCATTTCTCCTCCTCCCAAAAGACCTGGTACTTTCAAATATCTTCACAAACAAGCCAAATTATCTTTATTAGATGCCGAAGAATGACCCTGGAAAAGTGAACTAAAACTAAGCTCCTTTTTGATACAGGCTAGAAACTCTGCTTCTTCGCTCTGCCCTCAGGAGTGCTGAGGGGCTGCTGGTCAGCAGGAGGGGGCCTGACACTGATGGGGTTCTTCAGGCTCAGTGCTTGAGTCTTCCATTGCCCCTGCCAGGTGTCTGTGCTTGTTAGGATATGAACAGGGGCCAAATTCTTGGTTTTCCTTTCTGAAATATATATATATATAAATCACTATTTATTAGAAGTAAAACTGTAAGGAAGGGAAAGCCAAACAGGGCTGTGATGGGGAAGAGGCAGGAGGGATAGATTCCTCTTTCCCTCCAAAGCCTTGAAAAGAGCCACCAGGAATTAAAGACTGCCGTGTGTCCCCTGCTGTCATCCCACTGCCTGTCACTGCCCCGGGAGGCTTGCCCACCACTCCCTGAAACGGGAGCAGTCCCCATCCCTCCTGCTCAGCTTCCAAGCAGCCTCTGGTGCCCTGGGCAGGCAGTGCCGATGGATGGGGCCAGCCCTGTGCTCTGAGCAGGACCGCAGCCTGCTCACACCTGCCAAGACTCTTTTCTCTGGGACAGCAAGCAATTTCTTACTGGAAATGCAGCAGCCTACACATGTCACAAGGGAGGGAATAGCCTCGTTCTTCTTGGCTCATGTGAGCTCTGGCTGCAAGACCTCTCTGCGTGGGAGTTGCTGGTTTGCTGAAGGAATTGCCAATTTCTACTACAACTCTCTGCTTATTAGGCACTGAAGATACTTTTCTGATTGCTAGACAAAGCTCACTTAAATCTGCTTACAGATCTGCTTGGCTGAGAAGCTGGGATGTGGAGGGAAATTATGGACCTGGTTTAATTGCATCATTCCAAGGGCTGGGGATGCAGGGAACATTGAGCTCAGGTAATGAGTGAGGTGGTGAGGTTCTGACATGTAAGCATGTGCTGGTCCTCTGTTCCTGACCTGAAAGACTCAGGGTAAATCACATCATTCCCTGAGCTCTGTTATGGCACGCTGCTCTGACATCTGTTCCTAGAAGCACTCAGGATTTTTCTGTGGGTGTGACTGATGGGCTGGTTCCCTGCTTGCCAGCCTCAAACATCCTGTGCCTAGTGCCATGGTGTGATACCAAGTTACAGGGACGTTAGTCCTGAACAAGTGCTAGTGCAGGGACAGGAGGTCAGGAAGGGGCAGGAGCTGGGAGCAGCGGCAGGGCCCTGCTGCTTGCCAGGGTCAGGCACTGTGAGTGCAGGCACAGACCTGCACAAACACCCCACGTAGCCTCTGTGTGCCCATCCAGCTGGGAACCATGTCCTTGAAGCCTGTGCTACAAAATGAATTTGTTGTTGAATGGTGCTTAAAGGCAAGAATGGGAAGAGTATGAAAACACTCCCAAAGAAAAAGTTGAAAATGGACCTTCCCTTCCCAGTAGGTCATCAAGTTGCTATCCACCCCCCTTTCTGGCTTCTGTCTCCAGGAAACACTTCTGAGATAAGTTGCACTGCAGCCCTGAACAGCCTCTCAGAGCCTCGATCAAATCCCATTATTAACTGATCCAAACAGCAGGTGAGGCATTGATCGGAGCTGATGATGCCCTGCTGGTTGACCAGGACATTGATCTAGATGGGCACCTCATCTTTCAGACCCAACTCCACTCCCTCACAAAAGGACAATTTCATTTCTCAGTATTTCAAGGCCATGAAACAAAGTGATTCCTTCTCATGCCATTTGTTCAGGTCGATTTCTTCAGAAACCCAGGGGAGCCCTTGAACAAATACACGATGAAGTGACCAGTTTGCCTAATTGATGCTGACAGTAAAATCTGATCCCACCTCCATGTAGAGGAACTAATGTCAAGATCAATTCACCCTAATTTAGTTGAAATTACCCGGTCACCCTTTGGAATACTGAGAACATTTTGGCTTTATTCTCATGTTAATATTTTTCTAGGGGATTCATTCTCATTGCATTCAGAATAGAAGAGTTGAATGCTGTATGCAGTTTAAAGAACTGTCTGTTAAAATGATCCTCAGTTTCGTGGGCTGAAGTACCATCCTGGGGGCAGAGTGCTGGTAGCAGTGATGGTTGGATTGTCCTCATGGGGCAGGCAGAAAGCTCAGCAGGGCAGCTGGACTCCTTTGTTCTGCACTTGGTCTTCGAGCTGTGACACGTAGCACAGTGGGACCAGTGGAAAATCTCTGCTCAGCTGGGAATAGAGCAGTAATTTGTCTTGAGGCAGCCTTTGACACACAGGACAGCTTTCAGGACAGCCAGGCTGCTTCGTCTTTTTTGCATCCTGCCCTTACGGGAACAGCGGTGAGCCATGGCTGTGGTCCTGGTGGGGCTGGGGTTTCACTCTGCCTCCTGGTTTTGGGGCTTGTGCCCCTGCCTGTATGGACACGGGAACACTAAACTGCTATAGGGCTCTGCACGTGGTCCTGCTCATGCAAAGCACCACAACTTTGGGGCTTGCTTACATGCCCTGGCACTCTGTGCAGACCTCAGTGGTTGGGATCTTGGCTCCTTCACCCAGGATTGATGCTGTTTACAATCCCAGAGCAACTGTGTCATTATTCATGTGGCTCCGCTGCAGTCATCTGAGCGATGACTCCATTTGTCACATGCAAACCTCCCACGGATGGGCCTGTCGGAGGTTTGCCTCTCTGCCGCTGGTGTCATTGCAAACTCATTTCCTTTTGGCTCAGCGTGCCTGCACCAGCCCCCAAAATCCAGCCCTGCAGCCCCTCTTAAAGATGTTAAGGCTCTGATTCAGGGAGGTCTGGCAGCTAAATTACATTCTGCAGGTTTTTAGGCCATTAAGGTAGCTTTTTAACCTGTTATGTCTGATCTGATTCCTGGCCGTTCGTGGCCCTCCTGGAGGGCTGTGATCGGGGGCTGGCCGTCCTGTGAGGGTGCGGTGAACTTGGCCGAGGTATGGTGCTGGGTGATCCTTCCCGCTAACCCTGCAGGCACTGGGCTGAAGGCAGGCAGCGGGAAGTGAGGTTACAGTCCGCAATCATGATGGGCAGGAGCATTTCCATAGCCACCCAAAACAAGCTGGAGCTCAGGGGGTTTGCTCCTGATGGATCCCTTGCTTGGGCACAGTCTGTGCTGGTGTGGGATAGATCCCATCCCATCAAGGGCTGTCTGCTAAGAGCCCTAGGTTGGGCCCCAAGAGAAGCCAGTTTGCCCAAGAGGGTGTGAGTAAAGCGTTGCTTTAGGGGATGTTGGGCTGTCCTGCGCCAGGGCCGGTGGCACTAGGTGGCACCATTGACTTAGGAGTGCGGAGCTGGGGTGTGCAGGGCTCGGGAGCTGCCCAAGGGGACGGGGACAGGGAGCGCTTCTCAGGGGCATGGTCAGGGCAGCCTCCTGCTGGGGCATCTTCTGCCACAGCTTTGGGCTGTCTTTCCCATCACAAGCCCCTCATGCTCAGAATAATTAACTGGAGAGCAGAGCTGCCCTTCGCCCCTGCCTCCCTGCGCTGTGTGCCCTTGGAGCTTCTCCCCTCTTCCCCCGGTCCCGAGGAGCGGGGGGCAGCTCGCAGCAAGGCTGGGGGCTGCAGCTGAACGTCAGCAGGGGCAAACCAGCTGCTGAATGTCACTGCCACCTCTGCATCGCTCCTGCTGAGTAATTAGCTCTTCTGTCAGCAATTTGCAGCCGTGGGAAGGAGATTTTTTTCCTTTACCTGCTCGACTTTCTATTTCTGACTTTTTCTTTCTGTCTTCCAGCATGACGGGGGCTTTCCTATCAGCTCTTGCTTTGCTCAAAGCCACCCTGTACCCACAGAAGTTTCCGTGGATGTATTTACAATGACACAGGCACCACCAGCAGCAAGAGCTACTCCAAAAATATTTTTTTCTTACAAGATATTTTGATTAAAATATATTTTAATCTAAGTATTCCCTAGAAAATGTAGTTTTATGGAAGTAGACACCAATATTGTCTGGGGGTGTTTTGCTTGTAAATATTTAACATCAGAATTTCCCTGTAGAAACAAAGCATAAAGTAATGGAAAAATAGAGCTGAGGAGGGATAATAGACTGCACGCAGAAAATTCAAGGCTAATTATCAAAACTAATTAAAATGAGAAGTTGCTCTAACTGACTAGCAATTGATTAGAATTTGCTGTTATGTTATGAGGACAAACATATGCAAAACATTCTTTTGTCAGGGGAGAAGTCATTAGGCACAAATTGCATTGTGCTTTTACCACGAGCTGTGGGGAGTGTGCTGGGGGTCCTGGGCTGCCCGAAGCTGGTGGTGACAGCACCAACATGGGGTGGGGGGGGGCATTGCAGCCCTGTGTGCTGGTGGGCATCGCTGTCTGGGAGTCGGCTGCAGGTTTTAAGGTTTTTAAGGCATTTGCACCTGTCCTAAAGAAAAATGCTGCTTGTCTGTGCTGACTCATCAGGGTGATGCTGGTGCAGGGCCTGTCATTTGGCAGGGCTCTGTGTCCTCTGGGTTGTGCTGCTGGAAATGAGGCATGGCTTTGTAAGCTTGGGTGTAATCCCGGAACAAACTTCTGAACCTGGGTGTAAACCCAGACTGGGAAAGCAGGTAGCTTGTGCAGGGGCTCCAGTGCTGTGTGCACAGACCTGGGGGTACCTGGGGGACTGTCCCAAGGTGTCCACGAACACCCGAGTGTCCGGGGAATGTGAAGGATAGCTCTACATCGATAATCCAGGTGGAAATGAGCTGCAAAGCTGATGACCAAACTTTTCCCTGTCTGGGTTTGTCCAAGTCAATAAATGTACTTCCCTGATGGACCCAGAAAGCTGGGTTTGTGCCCAGCTGCCCCCACTGATGCTCCCTGCAGCAGTGCTGGGTGGCCACTGAGCTGGGAAACCCAAGGTTACATGGAGGAGCCACTGAAAAATACTGTGTATCTTTCCCTTAGGTGCTGCTGAGCAGCCCCAGAGCTGCCTGGGGCTGACTCGGTGCAGTATGAGGAACCTGGGGTTGCTGCTGCTGTTACTCTAAGCTGAGGTGCTTATATTTATTCCATAAATACATTAGCCTGTTACCATTGTACTGCTGTAAGTGTAGACTGCTATGTCATTACCTTACACTTAGGCAAGCTTTTCTTACCCAGGTTCAGGCTCGTGCATCTTCTGAGAGTCACTGTGAGGTCCTGCTGCCTGGCCCCGCGCTGACCCAGACTTGCCTCTCCTGATGCCCCTTCTTGGGAAGCACACCAGTGGAAATACGGTACAAAAAGCTCCTTTCCCTCTAAAACATAACATGTCAGTGTTTTAGAGCAGTTGCTGCTGTTGATGTCAGTGCATGATTATATAGGTTAAAATATGTTCAGCATTTGCCTTCTCATTCAGAAAATGTGTGACAGAATAGCAGTGGATGAGTAAGCAGAAGTTTTTGGCAGTTGTAGTTAAAGATGTGGAAAGAGATATGGCATCAAGAACTTTTTTAAAAACAACTTATGCTATCTCTTTAATGCCATGAAGCATCAGTTAATGCTTGGAATAGACTGTCATGTAGGGTGTCAGGGCCATGATTAGGCAGTTTCTCAGACTTCACCTGTCAGCAGGAAGATATGTGCTTTGCATCTCTTCCTAAACAGTTCCTTGAACTTCATTTCAGGGAGATACAGATAAAGTTTTTACCGTTTAGATGAGGGGGACGTGAGAAACGGAATGGCAGAGGTGATAAAAAAATGGTGTGTGATGGGAGAAATGCTGCAAGGGACAAAGCTAGAGACTCAGGTGGGGGACAGAGAGGATCTGAAATGAGCTGGAAAAATAATTGGCATGGTTTGTTCCTCCTTTCTTCCTATTTCACTCTTTGTTCATCCCCTAATTGGTTAGTCAGACTGACCCATCCTTGTACCAAAACGTTATTTCATCTCTAAAATGTAGCAAAGCCACTGAAATCAAAACTGTGCATGCTGGCAGGAGTATTTAATGCTGCCTGGTGTTAATGACGCTGGCTGGCAAGGCTGAGTGTAACACTTCGTTCTGTAGCTGTTATTTCAGAGTGAGTTTGAGCTTGCTGGATGTTGCCTCCTTGTCCCAGCTCACCTGAGCTTTCCTTCCTGTGGCGCAGCCCCTCTTCATGGTTGCATTGCTAGGGGTGAGCCTGAACTTCAGAGTAAGGATGCCTGAAGGAGACCCAAGGGACAAAGGCTGGGGAACACTTCCTTCTTCTTGTGTTTTCTGAGAAACAGGGGCTTAGGGTTAGCATACTAGAGGACAGTTCTGTAACCTGTTCTCTTCAGCACCAGTGCCTGTGTTGTGTGCCTTTCTTTTCTGAGCCTTCCAGGCGTTTGCTGAGTAGTGTGGCGAGCAGCAGTCACTGGCCTGCTTCCTCTTCCCCCTTAGGAGCAGCACTGACAGTGAGTGTCTTGCAAGCTGCTCTTTGTAAATGTACAGTCATTTGCTAGCAGAGGGCATGCCCAGGAAAGCTGCAACTCCTTAGATCCCCTGAAGTGAAAAGCTTTCTGCCAGAGCTGTTGACCAAAGAAATGTATCTCCCCGTGGGTAGAAAGTGATCTTTCAGTGTGGTGAGGAATGGAGCACGTGGAAGAGAACTCTTCAGGAGCTGGTGTGCAAGCTATGTTCAGTGGCAGATACTTGTTTGTGTTGCTCAGATGCCCTGCGGTCTTCTGTGCCTTAGGTAAATGAGCTGATACTGAGGTCTCTGGGGACATGTGAGGGGGTGACGGGTCTGACAGCAGGTCGTGCTTTACCAAAACCACCCCAAGCTTCAGGCACTGGTCCCAGTTTGGCCGTGGAGGTACCAAGGAGAGCACGAGCAGTTCAGCTCCCACATGGAGTGCAGGGGTTGGAGTGTGGCATTAGTCTTAGCAGAGTGTTGTACAGCACGGATGTCCCAGTGTTTCAGGGTAAAGAAAAAAGAAATAAGTCTCATCAAGGCCAGGGTTTCAAAAATATCTTACCTTCCACTCAGGCTCTGTTGCACTGAAATAAATGGTTCAGCGGGCACCTTGATCTGCCCAGAAGCAGTCTGTACTGCTGAAAGTCTGTGCTGCAAATGTTCTCTGCAATAAGATGTTCCATTTTTCTTTTTGAATAGGAATGGGAAATGGGTGAAAAGACCTTGAGAAGTGTAAATGCTGTGCTTAAGGGCCTGTCGGTCTGGTCTGAACTAGGGTGCGTGCTGTGATTGACACGTGAGATGGGCTGCCCATTTTGGGGAGGTTCGTTGAGAGGTTGCACCTCATTCAGTTAACTCATGATTGGAGAAAAAACACCTTTCTAATCTAACTTGGTTTGACTTTCTCACTGTTACAATGTGCACCAATTTGCTGAGTATTGTTCTGTGTTGCTCAGCCCATCTAACGCTGCAGGATTGTCTTTGGATTCTCCTCACGGAAATGTACTGCAGCACCCTGTAAAGAACAAGTGATTTGATTGTGCCTTTTAATATTCAGCCCTGACCCTCTACCCAGGTATCAGTGGGAGCTTTGTTGCCCCAAGCCAGTTTATGCTGCAGGAGATGACCTGGATGAGAGCAGGTCCTGGTGCAGCTGGGCTTGGTCCCAGTACAGGGTACTGGCCTCAGGGGCCTGCGCTCCTCCTGTTGTGGTGCTGGGTCAATAGTTGGCAAGAGCAGGCTGGCTGCCCAGCTTTGGCTGGCCTGGCTGTGTTAACCTGCCCTGCTTCTACAAATCTGGGGCCCAGTGTGGTGCTTCAAGGGCTGCCCAGTGCTGCCATGAAATGCTTCCAGAGGAGCTGTTACAGCTCGCTGCACCTTCTGCTACAATACCTAGCAAGGGTGTCTTCAACTTATCTCAGGTGGGTGTTTACTCAGGGCCCCTAACAAACTATAAATAAACCTAAAGCTAATGGCTGCAAGAATGGTGAGGCAAGGTAAGTCTGGAGGGAGGGAGGAAAAAGATCCTGGTGAAGTAATTGTGTGCTGGAGGGCAGCTGCTGGCAGAAACCATTAAAGGGCAGTCTTGGTGGCTTGAAGTCATACATTAATGAGGTGATGTGATGTTATGCTGACAAAGTTTCTTGATAGAACAAGGAGATTGCAAAGAAGGATTGGGATACCTCACCTCAGGGTGGACTGAGCAGAGGTGAGAGGTGCTGTGCTCCTCAGGCATCAGCCAGGGTGCCCCAGCCTGCAGCAGCAGCTGTTACACTGGGCACACAGCACTGGGGTTTGGGTGCCCCTTAGAATTTCTTATGATACCTGCATGAGGTGAAGTGTGGAGCAGCAGCAGGTTGAGGAAAGCCATGTCTGGGCTTCAGGAAAGGGAACAGGGCTGCAGGGAGCAGCTTGGATATTCTGCACGCTGCTGCCTTGGACTGGGCTGATAAGACATGACAGCTGATAAAGGGCTGTGCTGACAGGTGAGCACATGCTGTCAGCTGGATATCTGCAAGTGGGAAATGGGAAGGGTGCTGCTGTATCACCAGATCTGTGAAGCCCAGGAACAACTTTTGGGCAGTATTTAAAAGCAAAACCTCAAAATGCCTCAGAGCCCTTGTTCCTGAACCCTGTGTTCCTATTGCTTGGCTGCTGGCTTCTGGGGACAGGGGACCTGCTCCTGCCTGTGCTGCTCTGATGTCCTGCAGGCATGGCAAGGACAGTAGGGGACAGCTCTGGGAATTTTTCTAAGGAACTTTGGAGTTTTGGTCCTGACAGCCTTGGCCGAGCTGAGGGGTGCATGGACTTACCTGTGGGTGCTGAACTGGTGCTCTGCCCGCTCCTTCATCCTAAATTCTGTGCACTCATCTCTCTGCAGGCTGGATCAGAGCACTTGCCATGTGTGTTTTTAGGCTGCTGGAGGGCTTGGTGGTGATGCTGGGTGGTTCCTTGTCTGAAAGGAGTGGTGCTGAGCCCAGGAGAGAGGTTATCTCTCTAGCCTGAAGCTGGCTCTGTGCTGCTGAGCCGTCCCTGCCAGCTCAGCCTCTTCCGTTATTCACTTTATGGCATCAAATCACAAAGGGATGAGGGAAGCAGAGTCCTTTGTGCAAATGGCCCACAAAGCCAGGCCACCTGAAGTGTTGATGTGTGTCTGAGAAGGGACTAACCTTTAGCCAGGTCTGAGCTTTATTAGAACAGCTGGAGCTGTTCTGACAGGTGGCTCCCCAGGCACTGGTGGCAAATGAAACCAACGCGTGCTGCTAATTGCAGATGCTCATCTTGTGCTGGGAGCTAAAGTCCTCTGAGGGATCAAGCCACCCCCTGCCTCCAGTGTGGGCAGTGCACGGCAGGTCACAGCAAGGCGATGCAGTTAAGCAGGTGTAAGAAGTGCTGTGTGAGCTTTGGCTGCTGCTGGTCATAACGTGGCTCACTGTTCTTATTGTAGGAAGAGCTCGGTGTAAGGGCAGAGAGCTTGAATGCTCCTGGTGCTGTGGCTGGGAGGTGGAGAGTGTGCAGGTCACTCTGTCCTGACTGACACCCTGGGGGAGGTGGAGAGCTTGCAGCTTGTGGTGCCACACCAGAGAGCTCTGGGTACCTTCAAGAGGGAGAAGAGAAAATGAGGAGCCCCAAAACTGCTCCAGTGTTAATGAACTCTGGTGTTTCCTTTGTTTTCTGGATTTGCTTTTCTTGTTGAGACTGAGCATAAATATAAAACAAATATAAATGCTTATGCACTATAGTAATGTCTTATTTTCACCACCTCTTCCCAAAGTCACCCTGCTGTAGTGTGAACCCCATCATATTGTTAATTAGGAATGGATCAGTGTGCCTCTGATTAAAATTCTTCTTACTTCATGCCTTTTAACTAACTACAGTGTCTTTGGGTTTGTGCCAGCTTCGGTTTTATACCTTTGAAGAATCTCTAATCTGCACAGCACAGACCAGCCAATTATTTCCTTTATAAACAGTAAATATCCATTGAATCTTTTTGTTGCTGATGAGGATGCTCCTTTAAATGAGGTCTATTTTTCCTCCATGTTTTGCTAGGGTAGAAAATACCTGAGATGTACTGTCAGCCTTATCCCAGGTGTGAGGGAGAAAAGGTGATGGAAGAGCAGCTGTTGAAGAGGCTCCTTTAGGTTGAATGAATCCAGGCTGGAGCTTCAGAGTGAGTTCACAGCAGAAGATCCTATCTGGAAGGGCTGGATGCTGTACACAGGTTTTTCTGTTAATGCATGTTGGAAATGCAGAGCAGGGCTGTGACTTATTCAGGAAGGGACTTTTGTCTGAGCCTGATCCTGGCCTCTGGGTTAGACCTTGTGTGCCACAACATCTATTGAAGAACAGAACACTGGTTACCAAACACTTGCTGCTTTATCAGGCTCATTATAATTTTATAAGAGCTGAGCTTTTGGGACATTTTTCCATGGCACCTTTGCATTTTGGGAAAGGTATTATTTTTCTGCATGGAGGAAAAAGAGCTGAAATTAAACCAAAATCATGCCTGTCCTGGATGAGCATGACCACCTGACAGTACCTCACATGTCCTTAAACAATCTTTAAACTATGGAAGATTCTGCAGCTTTGGTTCCAAACTCGGTCTTTCAGAATGTTATTTTCTAAGCTGTAAAAGCAACTTTTGTTCTCTTACATTTTGGTGTAAGCAGGTCTGTCCTCATTAGCACAGAGTTGTTCTTATATCCCTCTTGAAGGGGTTGCAAAGTGGTAGCAAAGTGGCTTCATACAGGCAGATCACGAAAGCTCAGAAGGAACCCAGACAAAGGAGCCGTGCTGACCTGTGGAAAGGTGTTTGTAAGTCACTTGTGGATGTCCTTGCTTTGTTTGGTGTATTACTGAGAAGCAATGACCTAGTAAATCTCCTGAGGTTCTGGTGACGCTTCCCAAAACTGATACTGGGTCTCTTTATAAAAGTGTGTTAAATGCATTTTCCTAACAAGCTTTGCTTGCCTTTGTTCTTCACTTTCTGGTTGTAACATCACATCAAGAAATAGCAGTCAGTGTCTGACCCACTTTAGGTAAAGCTAAAGCCAAGAAAATGCATTGTCATCTGTTAAATAACTGTAAGGGGGAAGCCAAAGGAGGAATAACATCCTTGTTCTTCTACCAGCCTCAAAACTAATGGTACTAATACGCTTTTCTCCAGTTCTGCCACAGGACAGGAGCTCTGCACTCCTACAAGGATGTCAATCAAAGTCCTTTGCTGCAATAAACAATAGCTCCAATTATCTTGACAGCTGATGGCAAGAGCTAGGAGGCTTAAAACTTTCCCAGAGGAGTAGGTAAGATGAGAGCAAGCAAACAGAGCTAATAGTCTCCTGTTGTACTGCCTTGATGAATGGGGAGCTGACACGCCACATCAGTGCGGTGGGTCTGAGGGTAAATAAGAAATAGTGTCACTGGGGGGTTTCCTCCCTCAGCAGAGCCAGCTAATTTACTGTCAGCAGCCTGACTGCAGCAGAGATGGACACAAGGTAGCTTGTCAGGAACCCACCCTGCTTCCCAGGCAGGCTGCCTGCCGCTCTGCCTGTTGTATTAATTTCAGCTCAAGGTAGCTCAAAATGGGCTCAGGTGCGGTGCTTGACCCTGACTTGAGTCCTGCTCAGAGTTATCCTGGCTGTTAAGGGGGTGGTAAGGAGGTTAAAGCACTGTGTTTGCAGTATCATCTTGGACATGTTCTGTTCAGCCTTCCTCATCAACAGAGGTGTTTGCTGATTCCCAAACCCCAATGTATATATAGCCTTGTGGGTGTTAGCACCATATATTACGAAGCACTGGGACTTGGTGGTGGAATGCTTATTCTGCTATCTTTAGTGTTCTGTATGGATACCCACATAAAACATGAAATCCCTCCCAGAAGTGAAGTCATCCTCAGCAGTGGTCAGCTGAGGAAGCTGGGAAGACACATTTAACAAGGTGCCTTTAGCAGACTTAAAATAGGTCTGAAAATGCTTTTAAGGTCCTGGAAAGACTTATGTCATCTTGCTGGGGCACTGGGGGCTGTGTAGGAGAGAAAGCTATATGGAAAGATAAAAATGGAAAGTAAAATGGAGGGCAGTTCTTATTTAGCTGTTACTGATCATTTTAAGTGTTTTGGGGGCTGCAGAGATCCGGACTTTTCATTTGATTATAGCACGGAAAAGGTAGTTAATCACACAAATGAGAACCTTGTGATGCTTTTAAATACAATTTAATGTTTGTGGCTTATAAGCGCTACAAGCTTTGTTACTGTCTTTAGAGCAGGGATGTGTGGTTTATAGATTGGTGGTCAGTGGTGCTCTTAACTGAGTGGGGACTTGTGCAAATGAAATCTGGACGCTGCTCTCCCCAGGAACAAACTGTTCTGATGACTTTCTGGCTCTTCAAAAGCCCTTCGTGTGTAAAGCCCTGGAGAAGTCCAAGTTTGTATCTGAAGATGTTTTGGGGGACCCAACTACTTTGACAATGAGTCATCTTGTCTTAATTAGAAGGTTTTCTGAACATGTATTTTTGAGAAAGAAACTGTTTCTTTATGTGTGAGAGATCACAATTGGTGTCTCTGGTATAAGACAATTTTATAAAGTTTAAGATGTGATGTACAGGTAAAATAGGTAACTGTTTTTGTGGTGTATTGCATGAAATGTTCATAAGCTAAGAACCTGTCTTGTACTTCATTACTAGTTCACAATAACATGAAAAACATTATATAAATTCACAATGTGTTGGTGTGTGTCAGCTTGTTAGAAGTGGGCCGTTTTCACCTTGGAGAGAGATGTGCAATAGGAGAAAAACCGAGTTAAGGTGTGGATGGGTGGATCTGTGGGTATCTGTTTCCAGTCCTGTGAGTTAGTGGCTCTTGAAGCTGGGGGCATCAGTAGTGCTTTAGGTTTCCTGTTGTGTGATCTCTGGCCTCCTACCTCCTTCTATTACCTCTTTCCAAAACTTTTTTAGGTCAGCAGCAGGAACTGGCTCATAGAGAGAGGCTGAAACCTCTTCTGCCAAAATCTTTCTCCATTTGACTTTTCCCAACTCAGTTGCTGCTTTCTGCAGCTCTTTACGTATTCTGTTCTCCTGGCTTTCAGTTCAATTCCCTAAGCTACTTTCTAAAGAGGTAGGCTTTGGCTGCTCTGGCAACTAGAGCCCAAGTACTTTAAGAACTGTTTCGTTTTTTTTTCTCCCAGACTTGCCATGGCTCTTGTGGGACTGTCTTCATGGAACAACAGCTTGGGTGGCTCAAAGACTAACTGGTGACAGGGTCTGTGAATGGAGGATGAGCTGCTGAGGAATTTCTCAAGCTAAAACTATACAAAGAAAGATTGGGTCTGTTCTTCCTTCTTTGTGGATCCTTGCTCTGCTGAGAACAGAAGAGGCACCTGGTCTGACTCCCTGCATTAATGAGCCTTGTTCCACTCAATCTGCACTGGAACTGTTGCAGCATCTCTTTTAGGCTGTTACTGTTGACCTTCTGGCTCTGGATGCTGAAGGGTTTCTTGGTAAGCCAAGATTTTCTTAAAGTTTCTGACTTCATCTTGCTTTGTGCAGGCCAGATGCTGGTGGTAGGTGTGTGGCGTGGTGGTCTGAGGGCAGGCTTTTCTTCCTGTGCTCTGTGGAAAGCTGTGCAAGTAGGAGTAACGTCACTGGGTGAGTGTGGCTGGAGAGCTGGGCACAGTGACACAGTAGTTCCCCAAACCAATAATAGTTAGGCAGCTGCTGCAAAGGTCTAACAAATCAGATGAGTCTTCTCGCCTTCCTTTCCCCCTCAGGCCTCTTTACAGTAGTTCACAATTCATAGTGAAGATTAGAGTCTTTCACCTCATGCCTCGTGAGGACATTGTTGCTGGGATGGATGGTACCCTGTGCACTTCAGCATGTGGCTGCTTTACTGTACAAACGACCCTGAGAACAGAGAGGTATTTCAGAAAATGTAAAGTTTTCCCAGAGAAATGGAAACTAGCTAACAAGATGAAACATCTTTCCTACCAGCACAGGGAGCAAAACAGTAAAAAAGAAGGTTGGCAGGGAGAAACAGGAAAGAAAACTAAAAAGCAATTAAAACACAGCCCCTTCCTAATGCTACCAACTACTGTAATATTTGTGTGACGCAGTTAATGGGGCTGAAGTCTGGGTCCTCACTATGCTGGGGGCAGGCAGAGGGTGATGAGGGCTGGCAGGGAAGGTACATGGCAGGCCCCAGCATCCCCCAAGAACAGCACTGCTGGTGACAGCTGTGCAACCATGAAAGCAGCTGGGAGCAGAAGTGCCCCTGATTTCTATTCCCCCCACCACTGTGTGGAATAATCCTGGTTGTGGGGCAAGCCTTGAATCAGAGGTGGCAGCTTGTATCCTGTTCCCAGTCCTTGCAGCATCACCCAAGTCCCAGTTCTTGACTTTCACCTCTCTTGGGTGCAAACATGGCAAGAGGAATCAAATTTACAGCCCACAGTCTTGCTGCCAAGGACCTTCCGCCTTGGGTTTTGTTCCTTCCAATTTGTTCTCCTTGCAGCCTTAGCCACTTGCTGCTGCCAGTAAAATGCATGCTGTCAGTGTCTGACTGTGCCAGACACGGCATTTGATTTCCAAAATGATTTTAAAAGCTTAATTTGTTTTATTCTCCATTAAAGAAAACTTTCCTCTGTAAGGAAGACATAAATTAGGATTTGGGGATGAAGAGGTCATACACAGGAAGGCAGAAGCTCTGACTTTCCCAGTAACCTCAGACAGGAACTAGCTCTATCCTCTGCTGTTGTGCTGTTACAGGGCCCGTCTCACCCGGGTCACCTCTTGCCTAGGCTTGTGTTCAGTATGTTTTCAGTATGTTTTCTCTTGAGCTAGCTTTCCTTGATCATGGGTATTCCCACCTCTGAGCCTTGGGTTTGAGATGAGCCTGGAGGACTCAGCTGCACTGCTTTAAGGAGAGCTTTCTTGCTGTGCTCAGCTCTCTGTGCCAGGTCCTTTGAGTGGGTTTACAGATGGGATGGACAGCGTTGCCTTTATCTGCCATCCAAAAAGCTTTCCTGGGCTATGAGATAGGCTCCAGAAGCCTAAATGTGCGAGTCACCCTGACAGAGCTGAAGAGCTAGTGCAGTGCGCTGGCTGGGAAATGTCGCATGAAGCTGGAGACACAAGCACTCGAGGAACATAAGGACAGATGCTTCCTGGACTATTTTTCCAAGCAGTTTGCAAGCATGTGACTGTTCCTCATCCTGTGAGAAGGAGGTAGGACATGTGAGTAAATCTGTGAAGCAACCACTGGAACACTAGCTATCCTTAAGGGTTTCCCCCCTCCTCCATTTCTATCAGACAAAACTCTTCCATCAAATTGGTCCTGTCCTATTCTAAGAAATTTGGCCCATGCATTTCATCTCCCTGAAACAGAATTGCAAATTGGGAGCATTTGGCTGAATTAGCTTCCTGAGTAAAATCACAGGATTGCTTTTCATTGGAAAGAGTGGCTGTGGTTGTTCTCATTTTTATTCATTTATTTTTTTACAAGGTGAGTCTTTTTTTTTTTTTTTTTTAGAGGTGCTGGCATAAGCAAAGCTGACTTGCAGATGAAAACTAATGAGTGAAATTACCGCATTAACGAAGAAAATCTTACTAGCAAGATGTGAAAAGTATTTTAATCATAATGAATAGGACAAAATTAAAACTTAACTCTTCTCTAGTATTTTAAGAATTAAGTTTAATATTGGTTATGGCACATATCTCTATGCTTCAAAGTACCTGCGTCAGGGCTGTCAGGAGAACACAGCACTTCTAGTAACTTCTATGATGACACATTTATCAGCTTTGATCTGGAGGGACTATTATGATCAGCTTGTCTCATCAAGTGTAAATAACCAGTCCTGTAAGAAGTGGCCTGAGATGTGACGTGGCACAGTGCAGCACGTTATCCATGAGACAGGTAACAGTTTGATGGGGCAGCAGCTTCACAAGCTATTTCTTCTACTGTTCAGCCAATCTGGTTTGCATTAAGTGAAAGCTTTCTCAGAGGTTCCATTTATCATCCCTTTAGAGCACTGCAGACCTCCTACAAAATATAGGCCAGTGAATGCTGTCTGGTGATTTTTTTTCCATCCACCTTGAGCTACAGGCTACTTTCCAGAAATATTTTTTTGCGAGATACTGTCACTGCCTGCAGAGGCCAGGTGGTAGCAGGTGAAATCCCACACGGTTTGCAGTGGTGGTTTTCTCTGTGCTCTGCTGGGATCAGGGAGCTGAGCACCCTGTGTTCTGCTCTGTGGGGATAGATTGGAACTAATTCTCCTGGGGGTGTCTGTTCTGTCTTTAAGCTTCCTTCAGAATATTCCTGGGACACGAGACATGATATACCCAAAGGTGGTGGGTGCCCAGGATCTGTAGCACAGGATGTTGTAATGGGCAGGTTCTACAATGTGGTTTGAGGATGGTTGTGAAGCCTATGGGCAAAGCTGATGCCTTGGCAGGGAAAAGCACTTAGAAGGTGGCAGCTTTGACTTGCAAGGGCTCTGCTCCAAAGCTCTGATGATGCATTGCCAGGCTGACTGATGTTTGTGGCAGTGAAGTATATTTGATGGCCGCTCTGCAGGATCACAAAATAAGATGCCAGCTGCATCACAATGCAAACAGTGCTCTGTTTTGCTGTCATAGAATTTATTCCCAAATTCAACTGAGAGGATTTATCTGAGGCTCAGTTCTTACATGTCATGGCTTGCCTCTTCTGAACTTCCTAAGCTATGCAGTCTAACATCTGTGGGGAGGTTGGCATTGTGAAGTGATGTGGCTGGGGTTACAGGCAGTGATCTGGAGATGGGAGGTACAGATGGTGTTGCCAGCTGTGGGCTGTTGGGGTCTGAGGAACACCAACAGATCTTAACTGCCCTGAGCAGCTTCACCTGGGTCCTCCATGTGCACTCTGCGCATGGGCCCAGTTGTGGTCATTGTCCTGACTTGAAACTCTGCCACTGGAGATTGAGAGGAAGCAAATGTCTTCAAAATATCTACATGTTTATATAGACATAAAAGCCAAGAGGGAAAAGCAGTCACAGGATACCTAGAAACTCAAGAGGTGAGGACTGTTTCTGGCTGGACAGGGCTAGATGGAAATGCCGAGGAGGAGTGGAAGGTGGGAGATGTCCTGTGCTGCAGTGGAAGGGGCTTACAGAGGGAGGGGGATGTGGTTTTATTTTACCTACAGTGCAATGAGCATTCTCCCAAAACATGGGCTTGTATCTAAATGGAATTGGGTATAGTGGGAGTGCTCCTGCTTGACTTCAGGGGGCTGTCTCCCATGTGGAAGATGTTTTGCTTATATATTTTGTTTTCAAATATGTTCACTTTCAAAATGAAATGGGTGCATGTTATGGAGGATAAAAGACTGGTGGCATGCAAGGTATCTGAAGGCCTCATCCAGTGAACAGTATATATTTAAATTCTTACTAAATTAGTACTTTCTTAATGAAGCCATCCTTATCTATGCAGGAAGATGGCTGTGAGAGGAATGAGATGCGCTTGGAGCAGTTGTTTTCAGGTCCCTGTCTTTGTCCACAGGTGTTTGTGAAAGGCTTAGATTACATTGGTCAAGAGGTAAGCGTATTGTTTAGAAGCAAGACTAAGAATAGCTGATTCTTTCTGGCTTTAGGGGAGTAGCTTCAACAATAGCAGCAAACTCAGGCAATTCCTTACCTCTTCCACCTTTTACCTGCAAGATTCCTTTGTTTGCGCCACTTCTGTGTTCTTCCTTCTGTGAAGGAGTGAACGAGATGCAGCAAGCTGTAAGGGAATATCAGAAGTTGGTAGAAAGTGAGCTTTGAGTTTACAAATGCAAGTATTCATCCTGAGATGGTGACTCTGTTGTTCCCATCTAGCTGGGGAGTAAACCGCTATTCAGTTACTTGTCAAATCTAAATTGTGCACCAAAGATTTGAATTTCAAATCTCAAACCCTTGCAATGCAGTGCTCATAAACAAGTTATGGATCAGGAATTAGTCACCAAAATGATTATGACTAATTTTAAATAACTTAGATATGGGGAGGGGGAGAACAAATCTGCTCACAGATCATTTGCAAGCTGAAGAAAATAGTCTAAATATTATTCATCAAGCTTATCAAGCTTCATTCTTGAGTAATGTTGTGTCATCACTGGCAGGTGGTGGGAAATGGCATAGCATACCATAATTAGTAATAGCCATGTATTTTTGATACTAGTTTATCTGTGTGATGCACTTCCAGATGGTTTTGAAAATGGAATAAAGATGAAACAAATTTCCTGGATCAGAAGTTAATGAGTTAATTCAACACGTATTTAAAAAAAAAAATAATCTAGATTATAAAGGAATTTGTAAATGTTGGGATCATTCCAGCTTTATTGTTGGATTTCTTTTTAGATCGATATCACACATGAGCACTACCATAAGTATGTGTTACAGCACTGTCTTGCTAGGTGCCTGCATACAAAAGTTTGTTTGCAGATGCTTGCCATGTAGCTTTGACAAACTTCACTTGCTGACCCCCCAGAAGTTACCAGTGACTTAAAATGGAGTTGTTTGACATGGTGGGCAATAGCGCTGTCAGCCTTGGTTCTAAGCATGTGCAAATAGCTGTCTTCCCATGAAGGTTCAACAGGTAGCATGGTACTGAACTGGCAACAGCAGGCACTTCCTCAGATGGGTGCAACCCTCCCTTAAAGAAGTAATGCTTATTCACAACATGAAGTGTGCTTGCTGGGTCACAATGTTCTCATCTGCGGGTCTGTAGCCTTTGCTAATACAATTTTGCATTCAAGTAGCCTTCAGTTTCATCAAACATTTCTCAAGTCATGTCAAAATCTCTTGACCTGGCATACTTGGACAAATTTTGCAGCAGAAGTGCTGTCTTCCAGGAAATCTTCAAGTAATTTCTTCCCTTTTGATCCCTGTTGGCCATCTATAAATTTGAATATATCAGTACCACCATCTGCAGATGACTGCAGTGTAGATGTGCAGCAATTGAGACTGTCCTACCTGAAGAACCATAGGTCTCAAAATGCCCTAAGCTTAGACATCTGTGAAGTTTGATATGTCTGCACTCTTTCTATAGCCAGTGGGGAAAAACAGCTCCAGGTTCTTTATATCCCAAGAGAAGTGTCTGACTGATGGCAGCTGCTTGCTTTGACTATAACTGTTTGCCACCTAGGTTGAGATAACTCACCCTAAATTCCAGGGTGACCCCACCTGGTGACTAGCTGGTACCTGAACATATAGGTTTTATATAACCCAGCTGTGTTCTGGCTAATTTACTACAGCAGTGAGCTTTGGGTTATATGAAAACCTAGTAATTTTGAGGAGGGATGTGTGGTGGGAGCTGCATCGGGTTGGCTCCTTATTCAGAGCTCCTTATCTGGGCTGAGATCTACTTTGTGGTCAGTCTCGGTGTGTGAAGTACCCAGCTGTGCTTCCTGAGGTAGCCGTTTCCTTGGAGCATGCTGAAAAAATGGTGTAAGGGGAGTGCTAATACATACATATATATATGAAGGTTATACTATGGGCATCTTCTCCTGGAGAGATCATTCTATGGTAAGAAATAATCTATTGCCAAGCTGCAGTAACATTTGGGTGGGAGTGCTTAAAAACAATTCAGTGAGATAAAGCAGATGAAGGTGTTTTTAAGCTGCAAAAGGAACTCAAGTAAAATGCTTCAGTGGTCAAATTTGTACGGGTTGTGAAAACTGGCATCCTTACTCAGTGGAGGAAGCAAAGGTTTTGGCTCAATTTCACATCGGTTAGGATGGCAGCTTTGGCACAGGGCTGCTCTGGTACCATTGCTCAGACCAGAGTAGAAGATGGACCTGTGCTGACAGACACATGGTTTGCAGCCCATGGAGATTCCTTCTGCCTTGAGCTCCCAGAAGAGATCAAGGAATGAACGCATGATCTTTTCTGAATGGACTCAAAGTTTGTTTACTGGAATTTAAAACTCAGGTGAATAACTTGCTCCTGGGCAGAACAAGAACAGACCAAAAAATAACCCACGGAAGAAGGTGTCTTCCCAAGATACAGGCAAAGGAGCAAGCAAGCCACCTCCCTGGGAACACCTGCTGTTGTAGCAAAGGACCAAAGGTCTGTTTCTTAGCAAGATGAGAAGTGGGCAGGGTAAAAAAAAAAAAGAAAAAAGATTGAATTGTGGATATATGGATTTGTTTAATCATGCTCCTGTTTCTATTTCCAGAGATTCTGATGCAAAAAATACAGTTTCTAACACAAACCATGAGTGAACATGTTAAAAATGAACTTGGGAGAGGTAGGGAGGCTAGAGACAGGAACCCAGGCAGGAGTAAACATGAACTGTTTTCTCAGAAAGTGGAGGGTAGGGGAAATCCCCACATCTCTGGGCCTAAATTTCGAAAGATGCATCCCTCAGCTCTTCCTACTTTTTTCAGCACCCGTTGCTTTCAGCTGAGCTAAGGTGAGCCTTTGAAAACCAATTGAAGTTAAAACAGATATGGAACAGGTCTCTGTAAAACATCTGCCTTATCTTTACATTTAATGAATTAACAAAGATGAGCTTGGAAGAAATGTAATAAATTATTCAAAAACCTCCTATGCTTTTGAAATGCTAACAAGTCAAATCCTTTGAGACAGCTTGATCAGATTATGGTGTATCATACAGCAAATCTAATTGGTTATATTCAGTCCTGAATTATCAGATTTA